GCCCAAAAAGGACCCCAAGAGAGCCCTTCAGGGTGTCACTTTCAGCGCCCGTGAAAGTGACACCCTGCAGGGCCTTTTTGGGGCTTCCTTGGAAACCTCCCCTCTGGAGCCCTCTTGAAGCCCCGACCTTCGGAATTTCTGCGCCCAGGACATCGATCCCCAGCGCCGCGGGCAACCTCCCGAGCAGCAGCGTCTTCATCGCGCCGTCCTCCGTCGCCCAGCAGCGCTGCTCAGCGACGCGGCCGCGACGCGGCCGGAGTGCACGGCGGTGGACTTGACCCAGCTTGCGACGCAGATGCTCGGCCTGCTGCCCAAGCGCACGTTGGCCAGGATGAAAAAGCAGTGGCGTGGTAGAGCGGTGCATATCGGCACTTTGTGTTCGGGTACAGACTTGTGCGTTGACGTTTCACAGGCAGTCTTCACCTCCTTAGGCTCGGGCGAGGAAATCTATACATATCCACTGCTCCCTGACCATGCCCATCTTGAACCCAGGAGCTGTGTATGCGCCCTCCTGGCCAAGCCAGGAGGGCGTGGCGTATACACCGCTGCGGGTTTGAGGATGGGCCTGGCCTGGGAGCAGTGGATATGTATATATTTCGTCGCCCTATAGGCGTGATCGGCACGCACAGGTTTTCGTGCGACAGCTCCAAGTCCGTTCAGAGATGGATACGCAAGCAGTGCAAACCTCCGCCGGGGCTCCTCTTCGACGACGTTGTCAACGTTCCCAAGGGCAAGTGCATGGACGTTTTGTCTGGCAGTCTGCGTGTCGTGCCATTTTGCGATTTCTTGAACGTAGGGTTCTCGTGCAAAGACGTCAGCAACATGAATGTGCTGAGTACCGCGTCTCGCAGTTGCGTCAGATCAGGCACTCTGAGAACAGGGTCAACACTGCGGGCCGCATACGAGTACATAACAAAGGTGCAGCCATACATGATATGGCTGGAGAACGTGGCGGCCTTGGAGAACACGGACCGCGATACTGGCAGCTCGAACGCCGGAGACGTCATCAACATGCTCGAGGCCGTCGGCTACATTGTAGTGCCCAAGGTGGTCGACGCGCGCCAGCATGGGGCACCTCAGCGAAGGACGCGGTGGTGGGCAGTGGCTATCTTTGTGGCCGACCGCGCGTTGACGCAGGGCGACGTCAGCTTCTTCCAGGCGCAGGTCGAGGAGGTGTACCGCCTGCTGGAGGCCATGGAGATGTCCCCGGTCAGCTTGGACAAAATCTTGCTGGTGGAGGGCAGCGACGACCTGAAGGATTGGCAGGACTACCGCCTCGGTCGAGCGACGGCCGACGAGGTCCTCGGAGGTTCGAGTGAGGAGGGTGATGAGGAAAATACCGAGGCGAAGGAGGTTCGCGGTGAAAAGGAAGACTGGCACCAGCTACACCCCGAGTTCTTCAGGATGCATGGCATGAAGTACCCGCCCGTGCTGGAGTTGCTGTACACACCAGAGGAAGTACGTGTGTTGACGTCCAGTCTGTGCGCGCGCTCGCGCGATGTAGTTGCATTCCACGACATGAAGCTCGGCAGGGCGATTTCTCATGAGTCAGCGGTAGACGTTGGCCAGAGTATCCAGCGAGCACCGTTCGCAGATGGGTGCATACCGTGCGCCACTCCCAAAAGTGTGCTGTGGCTCCGGAAGCGCTTCAGGCGCATGGAGCCCATTGAGCTTTTGCGTTGCCAGGGCGTTTTCGGAGGTAGTTTTGCGGAGCTCGCGCCGGACTTCAGCCCCGCTGAGCTGTCCTCGCTTGCGGGGAACGCTTTCAACGCGAATTCAGCAATGGCGTTTCAGATCTCAGCTATGGCCAGCTTCGGCCCCCCAGGAACGGCCGAGGAAGCAAGCCCTGCGTGAGAACTTTCCGCGCCATTGGAGGCGCAATCAATTGCGAGCCGAGGAATAAACATTGCTATGCCGTGCTCTCTGGCATTGCACTGCATGGCGGGGCACTCTGAGGCTCTCTCCAGGGCCCTCGGAGGGGCCCAAGGCGCTCCAGGACGGCTGCAAGGGGGCCCCAAGGAAGCTCCAAGAGGGCCCAAACCCAGCTCTATCACGATGCATGCCGATAAGATTTCACTGCGTTGCTTTACCCTGCACTATGTTGCACCTCTTTGCTTTGCAGCGCATTTCATTGCATCGGCATTGCTTGGCATGCGCAGCCCGCGCCATATAAAGTGCAGCACTTGGCATGCTGGGGGCCGTTGTTTTGGGCCCACGCTGGCTAACGGCTTAAGTTATTAACGTGTTTGCCCAGATGCCCAGATATCTGAGGTCCAGAGCCCCCGGGGGCCTGTCCGCCAGGTTTGCGGGGGCTGGAGCGGCATTCGGCGCCGGAGGAGTCGGAGTCGGAGGAGGATGGGGGATGGGAGGCGGAGGTGGAGGAGGCAGACGAGGTGGAGGGGAGGCGGAGGAGGGTAGGGCAGTCCTCCAGCGGCGGCGGCCCCGGTCGTAGGAGGCAATCGATCAGTGCGACGCGCTGGATACACGTGGAGTCGCGCGCCTGGGCGCGAGCCGTGAGAGCATAACGCGCGGCTGCATTCCTTTCCAGTGCTCGGTCCTCGGACGCGTCGGCCCTCCACTTGCGGGCCCAGCAGAGAGCTTCCGCATCGTCCGCATGTTGTTGGATCCAGCCGCGCGTGCAACCTGCAGCCGTGTTCGGCGCAGACGTTTCCCAGGTTTGCGGTTGCTTGCCGCGGCCCCGCCGATTCCCGAACCCCGACTTCTGCCGCAGTTGTGCTTGCATGGGCTTCGACAACTTCGACATCCTCGGTATCTTGTCGGATGCTGGCGAAGACGTTCAGAGCTGCAGCGGCCTGGACCCTCTCGCGAGCCCGGGCCCGAGCCGCCGCCCAGGCAGCTCCTCCCAGACCTCCCCCAATACGGACAGCCAGTTTGATGACGCGTCGGAGGAGCCGTCGTTGAAGCGCAGCAGGCGCTACGAGAGCAAGGTGAAGGGCATCGGAGTGCTCGGCGTGCTGCTGATCAACTTGCAGGCGCATTTCGGGGACCTGTACGAGAAGTTCAAAAGCAAGGGTTGCCGTTTTTGTGAAAACAAGTTCTTCGATCCAGATCCTGTGAACCCCCAACTATGCCGGGCGTGGGCCAAGCCCGACTACGAAGGCCGCGTCTGCGCATATTGCGGAGTGGCCAAGCAGAAGCTTCACCCAGGAAAATCAGCCACGGCCGTTGAGCACACCATCACGACTGACCAGAAGGAGCGCTCCAGATTCTTCGACTACATTGAGAAGATCATCAAGGCCTACGTCGCCGGGGACAAGAGAGCCGTCAACATCGACCTCGAGAACAAGCAGGAGATCGTCAAAAAGACTAGCTACGACATGCAGCAGAGCGTCAAAGGCGTCATGAAGCTCTTGGAGAACTACCCGTTCGGGGACCCGCTGACGAATGGGAAAGGCCACACGGTCACGAAAGCCAGGTGGAAAGACGGGAGCATTCGCGACGTGGTCCTCATTCCGCACACCGCGGAAGACGAGATGGAGGTTTCGTGGAACAACCGCACGGGCCATGAGCTGACCAACCAGGTGCACAACGGAGAATTCCTCGAAGACGATAAGCAGCTGCAGCGTATCTTCGGTGAGCTGCGAGATGAGCGGGGCCAGTGCCAGCTTACGGGGGCGGCGTCTGCAGCGCCGGGTCAGTCGGCGCACGGGGGCGCGCCGACCCCTGCTGCGGAGGCTGCTGACGCGGGCGCCGGGGCCCAGGCGACGGCGGAGGAGGCAACGGGGGTGGAGCCAGAGGAGGAGGACGACGATGGCGAGGATCGATGGGAATATAAATAATTAATCGGGGATGGACAGAACCCCCAACAGTGACACGTCGATCAGTGAATTGTCCGTTTTCGGTTCTTGAGCGGGCGCCGTGGCCGTCATTTGCCAGGCTTGCGCCCGCAAGGTTTGGGCCTCAGGTAGTTTTCATTAAACCACCTTCTACTAAAGGGGGGTCTGTCCATCCCCGAATTAAACATGGATCTTCAGTGGCTGTAAGGTGTTTTTTTTTTTTTTTTTTTTTTTTTTTTTTTTTTTTTTTTTTTTTTTTTTTTTTTTTTTTTTTTTTTTTTTTTTTTTCATCAGAGGTGTCCCCGAAACAGTGCATTTGCACGCGTTTGTTTCGCCCCTGAGGAAGATGGCGGCGGCTTGTTGGAGCAGATGCTGGCCATGGAGTCGGCCGCCGATGCCGCCGCGCCCGCCCGGGCTGCCAGGGCGGGGAAGCCCGCGGCGGGCACCGCGGCTGCCAGCGCGCGGGTTGCCCCTGCAGCTGCCGCCGCCCGGAGGGGCAAGACTTCGGCTCCATCCGTTCCGCCGCCGCTGAAGGGGATCAAGACGACCAGGTCGAAGAAGGCTGCTCGGCCAGATGGCGCGTCGCTCAGCGATGCAGCTGGCGAGAAGATCATCAAAGCGCAGCTCGAGAAGGCCGCGGGCGCGGTGAACGCGTTCGAGACTGCGGAGCGAGCTACCGTGCTGGCCTATGATAAGAAGTTCTTCAAGTCAACCAAGGAGCTGATTGAGAAGATCGATTCCCGAGTCGCGACTGCTCCTCGAGCTCTTCGGACCGATATGTCGAAGGGAACCAAACACCTGGACATCATTGTGAAGTACATCAAATCATACAAAATGTGGGTGAAAAAAGGTTCGGACGAAGAGTTTTTGCAAGATCATGATGAGAACCACAAGTTTGCCACAGAGACAGCGCCCAATGTGGACGTGAGCCTGCCGATGTGCATTCAGATTGACATGGTGGACATGCAGTTCAACGTGGGCATTCTCTCGCTTCTGGAGAAGGGTGACCCGACGGCCATCGCAAGCCGCTGGGCCATGATCGACGCCGACGCGCTGGCTGCGTTGAAGCTGCCAGCCGAGGCGGGTCGAGCTAAATTGTCGTTGGGTCCGTGGGATGTTTTTACTTTCCAGTTCGTTTTGGAAGCACGGTAAATGATAACCAACGTTGTTTTATTCGAATATCGGTAGGCGGAAGTCTGGCAGATGGAGTTGGTCAACGGAGTCTTGCTCAAGATCTTGACTCAGAACTCTGATCCTGAGGCCGCCTTCAAGAGCATCGCCGCTTTCCTGAGCCCTTTGCCGCGCCTTCCAGCGAGGAATTCTAAATTCAAGCTCGTTGACTGCATGAGGGAGGAGTTGTTGGAGTTGACGCTCGCATTCGATATGTCCCTCCACGCGACGAGATTCCCCGACGTGAATGCCATCGCGGTGAAGATCCAGAGCAGCAGCCACGACACTCTCAAGCTGTTCACGTTCTCCCTGGGCCGCAAGGTGATGCAGGTCCTGAGGAGTTCATGCGCGAGGTCTGCGAAGGCCAGTGCAGCGAGCGAGCGCATCGCCGGGATGCTCGGCCAACCTGCAAGCATGGAGCTCCTCGTGCGTCTCGACGAGGAGTTGCAAGGCGAAAGCTTCCAGGCGCCTGGCAACGTCATTGACGCTTTCAAGGGTATGCTCACTACGTGTACGAAGACGGTCGGCGATGGCATCGGCTCCCTCTTGGTGGAGATCCTGGCGGACAATGGTGATTACATCGGCGGCATGGCGAACCACAAGCCTAAGATCCTGGAGGATTTTGCGCAGCAGCTTGACGCCATTGGCAAGTTAGGGTACTGCCAGAAGTTTTCCGAGCACTCGATCGTCCAGGTGATCAAATTCTTGAGGTCAACGTGCGATGCGCCTCTGGCTGCGTTGATGCCGTCGGTGTTCGAGTCCAACGCGGCCGGCGTGGCCGTCGTGGAGGAGCTGGCCCCATGCATCTCAGCCATCGCCGCCGTCGCCAAGATGCCCGCGGGCGACCCCGTGCCCAGCCTCTTGGACGAGGTCGGCTTATCCGTGGACCTTCGGGGCAAAGTGCAGGGCGCCGGGACGAAGTTGCTGCATCAGCACGAGTCCAAGACCGTCTTCCCCAAGATTGAGCGCATTGCGGCTTTGATCAATACGTCGAATGATTACTGGAACTCAGTTCAGACCGACGGCGACGCCACCTTCATCACGGAGCAGGAGTTTGATCTGGCGGCTCAACATTTTTCGGAGAAGCGGGATGCGATCGCAGACTCTGAGAAGGAGCATGCCGACGTGCAGATGCTGATGGTGGCGCTGGGTAAGAGCGACTTCAGCTCGGGCTTGACCCTGGTTTGGCGCCTGTGGCGCTTGCGCTTGAATTACGGATCCTTCAAGGCGAAAGTGAAAGAGCTGGCGGGGGATTTCAATGACGTCTCGGGGGCGACCCTTGCCGCCTACCATTCCTTGGCGGAGAGTCGCGAACAGATGCGCGTGGTGGCCGAGGCGGCCGACGCCCAGAGTTTTTGCGAGTCGTTCTGCGAGCGGTTGAAGTCTGGCGAGGTCACGGCCCGCTGGTAGGCCTCCGACCGTGGAGGGTTCCTTATCCGATGAGGGCGGCGGGGATACCCGCGGCCGATCCGCGGCTGGAGTTCCGCCGGCCTCCAGCCCCTGGAATCCTTATCCAATGCCTTCGCCGCGTTGTTTCGTGCAGGGCGCAGGGTGCAAGAGCGAGCTGGGCACGGGGCCCGAGGGTTTTATCGTATAGGACTTTCGGGCCCCGTGCCCAGACCGCTCCTGCGCACCCCCGAGGTCTGCGGTCTGAGGCCGTTCCACGTCGGTCGGGTGCTGAAGGAGTGCCAGGAGGCTCTCGCGCAGAGCCAGGAGGGTTTGGAGATATTCGTGGGCAAGATCGCCGGGCGGCTGACTCGGATGGCCAACTCGCTCGCGCAGAGCGTCCCCCCCTACGAGCCCTTCGTCGTGGCGGAGTTCAAGACCGAAGTCGCCCAGGAGGAGCTGATCAACAAGCAGTGGGACCACGTGGCGCATGCATGGGTGGCGATCTCCAAGGTTCACTCGGTGGCGATCGGCCTCAATAACGACGTGGTGGGCAAATTCCAGACGAGACACTCCGCGGTGGAGACGCTCGTCACAGAGGCGATGGCTGCGGCGAAGACGTTCGTCAGCGTCGTCAGCATCGTCACGCTGATGCTGGACACCTTGCCGAAGACTTCCAAGGCCAATTGGAAGACCATGATCGAGGGGCAGATCGAGAAGACCAAGGGGGCAGCCATCCCGAAAAATCTTTCGGATTGGATGCAATCGGAGCTCAAGCGGATCAAGGCGTCTACGAAGACCGCGGCCACGTCGGGCTAGCGGCGAGATCCGCGCGTGAGGAGCGCGCTGTGACTGTCTCCAGGGGTGCCCAGGGCTTAGGCGTGCAGGGGTTAGGGCTTCTGGGATGTAGATGCCGTGCCCGCTGCGGAGACGCGGCGCGGAGTCGGGAATCTTTTTCGTGGCGATGTTGCTTTTTCTACCCGGGGCTTCGAGCAGCAAGAAAAGAAAAATGAGATCAGGTATTAGTTGTATACTTGACGCTTCGCGCATCCCCGCCAGGGCCCATCCAGAAACGTCGCCGCTGCCGTCGCTGCCAAGGCCGCCGCCGTCGCCCTCGTCGTCGTCGTCGTCATCAGCAGGTAAAAGTCAGAGAGGGTACGCGCACAGCAGTACTCGCGCTATGAGCTCACATGCACGAGCAGACACACTACACAAGTAAGCGCACGCGTACACAGAGTGCCAGAGCCCATCCAGAAACGTCGCCGCTGCCGTCGCTGCCGAGGCCGCCGCCGTCGCCGTCGTCGTCGTCATCGGCAGGTGAATGTCAGAGAAGGTACGCGCACAGCAGTACTCGCGCTATGAGCTCTCATGAACGAGCAGACACACTACAGAGTAAGCGCACACGTGCACAGAGTAAGCGCACACGTACACAGAGTAAGCGCACACGTACACATATCAAGTCTCAAGCATCTGCCTGAGCGGTGGAATGCGCATCTCGCGATGGGATGGTTGTAATCCATGTGTTCCCCCCTCTTGCCCTCCCCCTTCCCCCCTCCTTCCCTGTATCTTTCCTCCTTTTTCCCCCTGCTCCCCCTTTTCCCCCTCCCCCCTCCCCCCTTCCCCTCTTCCCCCTCACCTCCCCCTTCGCTCCTTCGCACCCACGCACCCCCGCGTCCCCGCCTCCTACTTCGCTCCTGCGCACCCACGCACCCTCTTCCCCGCCTCCCACTTCGCTCCTGCGCACCCACGCACCCTCTTCCCCGCCTCCCACTTCGCTCCCTCCCCCCCACTCATTTCGGGCATTACAGAGGACTGCTCTTCAGGACAGTTCAACCTCGGCGTCGCTGCCCTGGGCTGTGGCGTCTTCGTGGGTCGGTGGGTTACCATACACCGCGCCGCTCATGGGGCCGTCTCGCAGGGACGGGCTGGTCGATCGTGGTGTGACAGACGAGGCTCTCGATATCGCGGCAGTGACTTCGACAATGGCGGCGGTGGTGGCGGTGGTGACATCGGCGACTGCGGCGGCAACTGCAGCGGCGTAGTGTTCCTGTAGCAGCGGATGTCGAAGTGAGTGCACGTGCTGGCTCTCGGGTTCGTCGGGGAGCGTGCGCGGCATTGTGTATGTGGTCTCATCGCGCGGCCTCCTGCTCGGTTGGCAACAGCGGAGGCACCACTGGGCCGTGGATGAGTCCAGGGCACGCGCACAGATGCGGGCTCCAACGTGTCCGACGGCTCCTTGAGCGAGGAGTTTGGCGCCGACCAGTAGAAGACCGCACACCACTCCGCCAGTGGCAATAGCTCCGAGTTTGCCACTGGCACATTTCAGGACACCCCCGAGGCCAAACCCGACTGCGCTGGCTCCGCCCGAGACGATATCTCTGAGTTTGGCGCTGGTCCACTTGGGAATACCCCACAGTGCGGGCGTGACGTTGTATGCCGTTGTACGTCGGGGTGTAATGGGCACAGATGGGCCTGGTGCCGCTGCTTGACGTCGTCGTCGCTGCCGGTAGCTGGGGTCTCGGCTCGGTGTCGGCGAGTACCCGTCGATCTGGTCCTTGTACGGCATGGCTATCAAGATGGCGTACGTGGCCACGAAGAGGCAAATGAGACAGCCACAGTGTCGTGAGGCCGCTGCGCTGTGCTGGGCCTCGTAGGAGCCGCTGGCGTCTGGGTTCGCGTCGTCGATGGGGTCGTTGTCGATGTCAGCCTGCCAGTGTTCAACGGCACTGGGATTGGAGTCAGTCGCGTTAGCACGGCGGACAAGGGTGCGGGGCGTGGTTTTGCCACCTGCGGTCTGGAGACGTCCAGGTCCAGCCAATGCTGCAGCGGGGCTAAAGCCGCCACTGCGCGGGCTGGTTAGAGCTGGCGATGCAGTGGGATGGCTTGTCGCGTCGGCGGCAGTGGCGCCTTCAGCTTCGTTGAACTGTGCGCTGGGAACGGCCTGAGCAGAGTTGTTAGGCGGACTTCTGTGCGTCGGGGGGCGCCCTATGTAGGGTTCGCTGTCACGGTCACGCTGGGCCGTGTCACCTAGCGGTGCCGTGCCGTTGCGATCCTGGGTATCCATGTCGTCCTGGCTATCGTCCGACGCGTGGAACGAGTCCAGGGATATGTTGCTGATATCGCTGGCCGCGATATGCTGGAGCGGAAGAGGATCGGCGTCGGCCGCGGGCTGGTCACACGTGGCGTGCTGGGCGAGGGGGCCAGCTGGCGGTGGTAGGTTTAGCGGTTCCACCGGTGCCGCGGCGAGCTCCGCCTCGACAAGCGGCTGCATGTCTGGCGGGTGGTGCAGGATCGCATCCGCGAGGTACGCCAGGGCGTCTTGGTCAGGTGGAGGGAGGCCTCTTGGCAGCAAGGCGTGGGCCCGTGAGAGCCGTGAAAGCCTCAGGGCCGACGAGCTGAGCACGAGCGCCCTGGTATTCCAGAAGGAGGCCAAAGTAGCGGATGGTGTACTCGCGGCTGCCCTGGATACGAGTGAGGTTGCGGTTGGTGCGCTGTCTGTCGGGGCCTGCTCTATGCCAGATGTCCTCGCACATGTCGATCGCGGTGCGCTGGCGCAGGGCGTCGTTTTTCTCTTCGGAGTCCTCCTGGAAAAAGTGGTCGTACTGTGGCAGATGGAGCGTCGCCAGGATGTACGGGACGCAGTCCTCGAGCCATGCCCAGAACACGTCCTGGTGGTCCTCGCCTGGTGCCCACGCCTCGGCGCACGGTATGAGCCGAGCTCGGATCATCATCAGGTGCAAGAAAGCGGGGTCCTCCTCGGGTTCGCCCCTGGCGCACAGAGGGGTAGTGAGACCCGTGGGGCTATAGCGGGGCACGACAGCGGGGCTGAAGCCGCCACTGTGTGCATGGCCTTGGTCAGCGGCCCCGTCGAGGATGTGCTGCGCGACGGTCGAGGCCACGCTGAGGGTGGACTGCGATGCATGTGTCGTAGTTGACGAGGGCGTGCATGCACTCGCGATGGCGCCCAACGGTCCCTTGCCGCACGGACCCGCGGCGGCGGTGCTGTTCACGATCGGGTCCAAAATGGTGCAATGATCGTACTTGTAGATGCTGCTGTCATCGTAAAGGAAAACGTGTTGGGGCGCACCGCCTGAAGACGGGCGTGCTCCAGCTAGCGAGGGGAGGGCCATGCTGCAGGCAAGGCGCCGCATGATGGCGAGGCCAGGCGGGCGGCGCGAGCGATGAGCCAAAAGCTGCATGTCGGCACACGTCCTCAAATACCCCTGAATGCTCATGTACATTGCAACAATCACGCCCCCTGCAAGACTGCGGGTGTCCCTACACCAGATAGCTTGCGCGTGCTGCTGCCAAAACAGACATGAGGCGACAAGAAAGAGATACGACGCGAAGAGGGAAGAGATGCCTCTGAAGGCGCTTCCTCGGAGGGCTGAGGCGGGCTCTCTGAGGCACCTTCAATAGGGTTCCTGGGTGGCCCGACCCTTGTCTTTGCCTTTGTCAGCCCCTGGGGGCCCCGTCCCTGGGGTGACCTGGCCTGGCTGGTCGATCCACCCGCAGACAGCCACGGGTTCAGCGGCCGCTGCAGCTTCCTCCTTCTTAGTTTCCAGAGTGGCCACTTGTGGCAGGTGGATGGTGCCCCCCGTGAGGTGCCCGAGGAGGGCCTGGATGTCGCCGCGCAGTGCAGCGGCGTCGGCGGTTGCCGTCTGTTGCTGGGTGACGACGGTGGCAAGCCCCCGTTCCAACCCTGAGACGTGCTCCGTGAGTGTGGCCTGGGAGGAGAGAACGCCCGCAAGCTGGACCTGCATGTTATCCACCGTATTGGCTAGCAGCTCGTGCTGCTGTTCCATGTGCTGAATGCGGGTCGTGGCGGCATCTGGCGGTTGAGAGGCCGATGCGAAGCGCTCACCGAAGGTGTTGAGTTCGTGGGAGGCCTCGCTGTATTCATCGCCTGATGAGAGGATCTCGACGTCCTCGGCGTCGCCTGGTACTTCGGCGGCTGTGGCAGCGTCACCTTCGGTGTGGCCCCCACCTTCTGCCGCCACCGTGCCAAGCCGAGAGTCATGACCACCTGATCCTGGGGCGGCCGTTTGTTCAGCGGCTCCGTCCGTGCCGTGCGGGGGTGCAGAGGAGCTGCGGCCTGGGGCGCAGTGTGACCTTGCGTGCGGCGGGACGTCACGTTTCCCGCTGGAGGATCGGTGGCGCTTGGCTGAAGGCTCCTCCTTGGGGATCAGGAGCGGTGCGACGCCCTTGCCTTTGGGCGTGGCAGTCATGAGGTCGTGGAGGTAGGGGCTCTGGGCCGCTTTGGTGAGGAGTGTGCCGGTGGCGGGGCTAAAGCCGCCACCACGGGCTGGCGGCGTCACAGGCTCTGTGATGGTGGTAGGCGTGACGATGGTGACGTTGTCCCGCTTCGGCACCACCTCAGCCAGCGGGGCCTCGGTGATGCTCCACGGGATGGGGCACCCCGCAACTTGTACCGTGTATGTGAGTGGGGGCCGATGGGCGCGCACTAAGGCAAACTGGGCCGCAGTGGCTGGGTCCCAGGCGGTGTGGTAGACCTCACAGTCCCATTTAACGGACGGGCCCGTGAGAGTCTTGGCGAGCTGGGTCAGCGTGGCGTGGCGTGCCGCAATGCCAGTGATGCGGTAGCGCGTCTTGGCGAGGGAAGCCTCGCAGCCACGGATGCTGACGGCAGCAGCCTTGGCGGCGTCTGACCCCCGTGGAACACGGATCCCCAGTACGCCTGACTTGCCGTGCCTGACGACTCCCAGGGCCTTGAACTCCACCGACTTCTGGAACGCATCTGCCATCGTGATGGGCTGGTCCTCAGGGAACCACACGGTCTGATACTTGTCAGCGGTGGGCTCGTCAGCACCTACGTTGCTGAGGTCGTAGGTGGCACCGAGTTGCCCTGATCCCGCCAAGACCTTGTCGACCGCTTGGAGACTGACGCCGAAGGTGGCAGCCAGGGACCTCTTTCCGACGCCCGATCCAAACCTGCCTAGGCTTTTGCAGGGTTCGAGGATGGTGACGGCTTTAAAGTTGCCGTGGAAGAGGGCCTTGAAGGTGTCCTGGAGCTGACTATCGAGCTCCTGGCGGCGAGCGTCTTTCTTGGACTCCCTGTGCTTTTGGTTTTGGCGCGCCTTGTCCTGTGGAGCGGAGTCCCCTCGAAAAGGGCCCTTGGTGCGTGGACCACCGTTCACGGGGGCACCTCCCGAGAACTGGTCCTCGAAGGCCTGATGCATGGAGGGGACTGCGGCGATGGCCTCGGTTTCATGTATGGTCGCCCGAATCCAGCATACGTGGTCGGCAGGGTCGATGGTGGCGACGGCTACTTTTTCCGTGCAGGCGACCTCCTTGGTGCCCAGCTGGTACACGGTCACGGGGACGTGCGTGTGGACCACTTTGGGCGCCTTGGGGTGACGCTTCAGGACGGGGACGGCGAGCTCGGTACCGACGTAGTTGTCGTTTTTTGGGCCCATGACAGCAATCGCGAGCTGACCCGTGGTTCGCTTGCCCTGCTCGAGGTGGTGTTGGAGCAGCCGTTCACCGCTCTCGTAGTCGTGGAGGCTGATACTGGGCTTGTACGTCTTGCCGTCGTCGGGAGATGTGGGTTCAGCGAGGACGGGGACCTTCCAAAAGGCCGGGTCCAAGGCGATGAATTGGGTGTCCGCAGTCTGAAGACGTGCGGAACCCGCTGGTGGGTGTGATGTGTCACCGCCAATGCGCTTAGGCTTGCTGCGCTGGTGATGATCAAGCGTGTAGCTGATCTGGTTGGTGGCGCACATGCGGATCAGGGCGCTGCCAAGCTTCTTCGTGTTGGACTTGTGCATGTCGTACGTTGCCTGGAGCTCGTCCGCGTTCAGTTCGGCAAGCCCGTTGTATGCGGCCGTGGGGCGGTCAGACCCCGCTTGCTTGAACGCTGCGATGCAGTCCTGCTTGCGTTGGAGGAGAGATCCTTCAGCAGCAGGACGGAAACTCGGAGGCTGCTTGGAAGAGCGACGGCGGTCCGGCTTCTTGGGGGCCATTGCTGCGGGCGCTCTGGTGAGGAGAGGTGACGCGAATCAGTAGGGTCCTGCTGGGGCCCTTCCGGTCTCGCGAGGCCTGGGAGTCTGGCTCCGAGGCGGGGCGCTTCGCGTCGCGGCTGCGGTCTGAGTGCTGGGCACTCTCGAGCCGAGACTAGAGAGAGAGAGAGAGAGAGAGAGAGAGAGAGAGAGAGAGAGAGAGAGAGAGAGAGAGAGAGAGAGAGAGAGAGAGAGAGAGAGAGAGAGAGAGAGAGAGAGAGAGAGAGAGAGAGAAAGAGAGAGAGAGAGAGAGAGAGAGAGAGAGAGAGAGAGAGAGAGAGAGAGAGAGAGAGAGAGAGAGAGAGAGAGAGAGAGAGAGAGAGAGAGAGACAAAAACACAAAGAAAAAGAAACAAGCAACAACAAAAAAAAATATGAAATAGACATGGGGAAATATACATGCAGAGACGGGGACGGGAAGGGGGGAACAACGAGAGAGAGAGAGGGAGAGAGAGAGAGAGAGTGAGAGAGAGGGAGGGGGAAGAGGAAGACTGAGGTCAGTGACTGAGGGCGGAAAGAAAAAGAGAAATAGACATGGGGGGATGTGCATGCAGAGACGGGGGCGGGAAGGGAAGAAAAACAAGAGAGAGGGAGAGATAGAGAGAGAGACAGAGAGAGAGAGAGAAAGAAAGAAAGAAAGACAGAAAGAAGAAAGAAAGAGAGAAGAAAAAAATCAACGTGAAAGGGAGATAGAGGTGTATATATATATATAGAGAGAGAGAGAGAGAGAGAGGGAGAGAGAGAGAGAGAGAGAGAGAGAGAGATGGGGAGAGGGGCGCATAACGAACGGATTGGGGCCTCGGGTCGCCCGTCGCCCACCGAATGATGCGAAACGGTGGGAGATAGGGAGATGGAGACAGGAACGATGGAGATTTCTGATATCGAGAGAGAGAGGGCTAACGAGGGAAATAATGAAGAAGAGGAGTTTTATCATAGTGGAGAAGCGGAAGGTGGACGACAGGGGCGAGTTTCTGGAGAGCATTAACGCGGCGAGACGGCTCGACGGGCTCAAATCGTTGGCTAAGAGACCAAGGATAACACCGATGGAGACGGAGGCCATCAAGACGGACACAGGCGACGACGAGCTGCTACTGCAGTACGAGGACTAGGAGATGATCTACCTCACGAACGCGGCGAAGCGCGACGCGGTGGTGGAGGCCAGGCTCGCGCAAGACGAAAAGGTGCAGTTCGACGAGGCCAAGACCAAGGCATTGCTACCCTGGATCGAAAACCAGGCGTGGCAGGCGGTGAACGAGGCGACGGCGGGAGCTGGCGAAGTGTGTCCGATGAGGTTTCTGCTGAAGTGGAAGATGAAGGACGGAGTTCGAGAGGCAAATGCGCGAGTGATTCTTCAAGGATTTCACTTGGAGGAGGTGGCGAGCACCAACGTGGAGAAGGCAAGCCCCACTCTGACGAGGCTCGCGAGGTACCTCATCCTGCTCATCTTGTGCCAGCAGTCGTGGAAGATGGTGGCAGCTGACGTGAAGAGCGCACTCCTGCAGGCCAAAGACATTCGTGAGCAGGGCGTGCGCATTTTCAGCAGACCGACGAAGGACACCCGAAGGAGGTTGGCGAAGATGATGGGCCTAAAGGACGACGAGATATTGCAGATGCTTAAGCCAGCTTTCGGAGATGTTCGCGCTCCAAGGCAGTGGAATCAGACGATCACGGAGGCCATGATCGACATCGGATTTCCTCAACACCAGCTGGATCGGTGCTGTTTTCTGTCGTACCGCATCGCGGCCGACGGCGACGACCCCTTTCTGGTGTGGAGCGCAGACGACGGCCAGAACTACGTCCTGGACGGCATTCTGGGTTTACACGTGGACGACTTCATCGGTGGCGGCGAGAACTTGGAGCGCGAGGCCGACCTGACCGACAAGCAGGCCTACGAGGGCGCGTTCCTGGACAGGGTGCAGACTCTCAGCAGGCGCTTTAAGTTCGGCAAGTGGGAGTTTCAGAACGGTATCGTTTTCTGTGGCATGGAGACCACGCAGTCGCAGTCAAGGAACGAGATCGAGGTCAAGGCCGAGCAGTACATCCACAAGGTGAAGCCGATTAGCATCGAGAAGGTACGCCGCCAGCACCCGGGCAATTTGTGCACGCCGAAGGAGATCAGCCAGCTACGAGGACTTAATGGGGCTATGCAGTGGCCAGCATCCCAGTGCATGGCGCAGGCGGCGGCGACAGTTTCTTTTGCCCAAGGTTACGTGAGCAAAGCCACGGTTGGAAGTTTGCTGGAGGCCAACAAGTCATTGCGGTTCCTGAAGGCGAGTGGCGACGTGGGCATCCGTATTCGTTACGTGTCCAAGCGGGAGCAGCTACGACTTGGAGTGTACTGGGACGCAACAAGACTTAACGGCGAGTCGCAAGGAGGCTACATGATCGTCGCGATCGAGGACGACAGGATCGACGACGGCCAGGCCACGTTTTTGGTTATCATCGATTGAACGAGCAAGAAGTTGGTTCGCATTTGCAGGAGTTCTCTGGCCGGGGAGGCTCAGGCGGCGGCCAACGCGGTGGACGCTCTAGAGCTTGCGAAGACGATGCTGACCACGATGCTCTACCCCAACATGCAGCTGACGGGACCGGACATGCTGCAGGTGCTCGGGCGAAGCCCGTGCATCACAGACTGCAAGGCGCTCTACGACGCAGCCAATTCTCAGGCGCCAGCCGGTGGCCTGACGGAGCGCAGGACGGGCATCGAGATCATGCAAGTGAACGAGAAGATGAAGGAGTTCGGCGGGGTGTGGAGATGGACGAATACACATCAGCAGATGGCGGACGGGCTGACTAAGTTGCAAGTGCGACAGCAGTTCGTGGAGAAGCTGAGGAGGATGACACACGCGCTGAAGTACGACGCGACGTTCACGGCAGGCCAGAAGGTCAGCCAGCAAGAGCGTGACAAGAACGAGCAGGAGCTAAACGACGCGGCGGCCGACTTCGACGAGGCGAATGCGGTGGGCCAGACACCAGATGAAGTGCCAGCGCGAGAGATGGTCAGAGCGACGAGGGCAGGGACCAGGACAGCACAGAGACTGGCGGCGCTTGTGGCGACAACGGCGGCTACGACGACAAAAGCGGAGGAGACCTGCCCAAGCCTGGACATCGGTCTGGCTTGACCCTGGCGATCACCACGACGGCGCCTACTTACCGTGGGGGACGACCGTCATGGGCCATCGCGTTATCGACCCTGAGGTGGTGGGTCGCGACGGCTGGGTCATCCTCCACCACGACCATGGCGATACCACTACCAAGCTCTGGGCACCGACCCAAGTCCACGTCAAGGCGGATGACACGTGGCGCACGGTCATGGTACCAGCGGACATGGGGCCCCAGTGGATAGAGCGCCACGCCGACGACGCTCGCCTCCCCGCCGAGGTCGTCCGCACTACAGGCCAGTCCTGGTTTGCCGACGTCTGGCCCTTGTGGGATCGACCCCGACCCCACCCAGACGACCCAGGCACAAACGAGCAAGCGCTCCCGCCCCTACCAGGACGCTGGTCATGCCTACAGTGCCGATTCCAATGCTGTCAGTACTGTGCGGCCCGCCGCAACACGCAGCTCGGCACCTCGGGCCAACCAACGTGCCCAGACTGCGCCCTCAGCGGACTACGTGCACTTATGGACTGGTCCACGGACTACTCTTGCAACAGCTGGACGTGTGCATACAGCACCGACAACAGGGACTCCGACACATGCTGCCTCTCCAGCAGGTGCCCCCATCCGCCCAATCCACACAGCCTGTTCGACGTCCGTGCCACAGGGATGCCGCCGCACATCCTTGCCCGCCAATATGGCAACGCGCCAGCCCACCACGACCTCAAGGAGCCCCCCCGAGCGCCTTCAGGCCCCGGGGGGGAGCCTCCACAACCAGGCCAAGCTGGTTACCAGGGTCAATGGTACCTTCCACCGAGGCCGCGGCGGGTCCCCAGGCAGGGATTGCCCGACGGCACGCGGCGGCCACCTGGGTTCACAGGAACGGGGATGCCTGAAGACCCGTCCCCCGACCAACCGCTGTGGAGGGAAGGCTACGTGCTCTTCGGCCCCCACCAGGCCCTCAAGGAGGACTTCACCTTCAACAAAACGGTCCGCCGACCTTACTCCCTAACCATCACCAACATGCACAGGGATCGTGTCACAGTCAGGACCGTCTGCGAGTCCATCGCCGAGCGCATCCACACTACCCGCACCCGCTGGCGAGATGTGGTACTGTACTGGGACGCCGAGGGCGGCCCTGGGCCTCAAGCTCTCGACTACGACATGCGCCTCTGCGACGCCATGGTGAGCCGAGCCACGACCGAAGCCGAGCTGAATCACGACCGCAGCAACCGTGGTAGTTTCTGTCTCTATGGACCAGCGCACCAGCGAGCTGTAAACATCACGGCGCTCCCCGAGCCGCAGAACATTGACTACATGGAGCATGTGCGGCGATATTCACCCGTCGGGGAGACTTACCCAGACCACGCCTTCGAGCACGTCTACCAGGGCTGGCGGCGGCCCGACGTGCCCACCGTCCTCCCCGACACCCGCCCGCTCTCGAGAGCCGACCAGCAGCGCTACCAACAGCACCAGCAGCGCATTCAGCAGCGCGACCAACGCGACGCAGGTCAGCCGAGCACTCCACGCAACCGCTCCCCCGCGCGCGTCCCGACAGGCGGCAACACGGTGTACGGCGGGGGCGCCGCCTATCACCGTGGCCCCATTGGCGCCAGGCCCGCGGCGGCTGGAGCAGCCGCCTCCAGCTACGGCCATGCCCCCCACGCCAGGGTGCATCCAGCGGTCATCGGTTACCCGCGGGCACTCGTGCAGTCTCCCCCACGGGCCACCTCGCCCGTGCCAGGGTCTACGCGTGCCTGGGGCCACTACCCAGGCCGCCATGACAGCACGCCCAGCAACCAGCCCGCAGTGCTAACCCCTGCGGCTTCAGCCCAGGGGGCTGCACCAAGCCGTGGCAGGACAGGGCGCCCTGAAGGATGGCGCGATGCGAACGTGCGCGCTTGGCAACCGCGCCAACACACGCCCCCGCCAAACGTGGCCGCATCGCTGCGCCCTGCCCAGGCAAAACCTGCCCCACCTGAGCGAGTGAGGCAGCCGCTCGTCCCGCTCGTCCTCACGTACACCCAGGCGCACCACAGCGCCTCCCCGCGGCACAGCGACGGAAGTGCCCATCACATCAGCCCCCGCCCTGACGCTGTCGACCCTGACCAGGCTGCTGCCTCGGCGGCGGGCGGCGCAGGCGGCCCCCGCCAGCCCAGTCCAACACCCTGCGCAGCGCCGATCCGCTCCCCGAGCAGGGCGGACTCTGCGCGCGCTAACGCCCAGGCGACCTCGCCACGCGACCGCCATACGGGCGGGCGCGTCCCGCGCAGCAGGTCCTGCAGTCGCCACAGCTCGCGCAAGGCCCCTGGGAGCTCCACGAGCTCGCCGCCCCGCGAGACTCAGGCTGATCGCCAAGCCCCCGAGGCGGTGCCACGCTTTGGTGCCAGCGCCATCGAACCTGGCCAGGTCGACCTCGAGCCGACGCCGTCCACGGACCAGGAGCTGCCGCCGCCCACCCGCGTGGTCATCCCCATCGACGAGGCGCCGACCTTCGACCCGTTCAAGAACAAGTACCGCGTCAAGGACCTCGCGGCGGGTTTCGGCGGCGGCTCACCGCTCTCTCCACAGAGTCGTGGCGGCGCCCTCGCCACCTCAGCCGCTGCCGCGGCAGCGGCGGCCCCGCGTGGAGTCAGTCCTGTCCGCAACGCTTGCCTCACGGCAGCGGGCATGGACGAGGCCCAGCGCCAGGCCACTGACCGCGCTGCTCGAGCTGTTCCACCTGATGCTGCTCATCACGGTACTGACGGGGCGGGCGCGCCACCGCAGGACGGACCAGCGGTGTCGCGTGCGCAGTATATGCGCGCGCGTTGCGCCGCCGCCGCGTCGAGCTGCCGCCGCTGGTCTGCTTTTGCTCTTGTGTTCGGCAGGACGGATCGAGGAGTCGCCTCCCTCTCCCTCTGCTGCCGTCTCACCTCTCCTCCCCTCGTCCCCCGCGGTACAGGGGTGAGGAGGATTTTTCGATGCAGTTTTGCCGATGTTTATGAACCCCCCCCGGCGCAGTGTCGACCATGCCCCGCCTATACTTACGGCCTGACGGCGGCTTCAGCCCCGTTCAAGCCAATCTGCAGGGACGCCATGAGCTCCTACTGTGGCCAAGCCTCCTACCTGGATAAGGGCCAGGCGGCCCTCCACCGTGCGGGACGAGCCAACCCCAGCTCCACCGATGGAGACGGGCCAGGTCGCTCCATCCATCTCGTCAGCCTCAACATCACGAGTCTCCCAGCAAATTGGCCAACTATCACCGCTCTAGGTGTCGACCACAACGCCGCAGTCATAGCACTGCAGGAGACCCGACATGCCAAGCCTACCAGACAAGCCATCGTTACCAACGCCGCCAATCCACACCACGGGGGATATCATGCCAGTCTGGGACTTGACCTGGATCTGGCGCGAGCCCAGCGCAAAGCTGCCCACGGCGGCACAGACCACACAGTCGAGGGCAACACTGGCGCATCGGGAGGGGTCGCCATCCTCTCTAAGGACGCCATCGTCGACTCCACCGTCGACGATACTGCGTCCTGTATCGCCACACTCAAGGCCAAGAAAAGATGGCACGAGGCCTTCCTCCCGCTCTGCACCCAGCACCGCCGCAGGCGGCGAAGAAACAACCACGGGCCCGCTGGGATCTACATAGCGAGCCTCTATGGGGTCGCTGGAGGAGACAGCACCGACTTGTTTCGGCTAGCTGACTGCGCCGCCGCGAGGGTCGGCACAGCCCCGTATTTCATTTGCATGGACGCCAACACGAACATCGACGACAATCCACACCTGCTGCACATGATGCAACACGGATGGTTTAACGTCGCTGAAGGCACACCTGACCACACCATGCTCACACATGGCAATATCCCTGACTGGGACCGTGTCACCAAGTGTCCCCGCACTTCGCGCATTGATTACATCATCGCCAACCAAGCGGCGCGATCCCTTGTCACCGACTTCTGCTATCTGCGTGACTTGCCAGCGAAGTCCCACGTTGGCCTTCAGGTCACGCTCGACCTTGGCCGCCTCGACCATACGGCCCGACGCCTTCTTGCCCCCACGCCCTACCCTCTTAACGATGGAGCCCATGAGGACCACGAACTTCAGGCATTAGGGACCCTTATCGCAGGGCGATACCAGGACCGCATTGTGCAGGCCGACACACGCGACGATGTGGAACGCATGTTCGCCCTGGCAAACGAGGCCAGCCATGAGTGCCATCTCACTCGGCTGCGCGACCTGCCACCTCCGCCGCCAGACCACCCAAAAAAGAAGGCCCCTACCATGCACGGGCTCACACCCACGTTCGAGGAGCGACCCGCTGTCCCCCGCGCCTTTCCCACCTACGGAGCTTCCACGATTCACATGAACCGCCTTCGCAAGCTCCATCGGCAACTTTGTGAGCTTCGCTTCGTCGGACAGCACCACCATATCGACTGCCGTGCCATCCCGCCTCACCTGGCGCAGCGCATCGACTGCGCGTGGACCGCGGCCCGCCTTCTCTGCCACAAGCTGCGCCCCACGGTCCCCCTGGCCTTTCCTGAGGCCTGGAACCCCGACGAGCCAGCACCACGCGGAGAGCACCTGGACCGTCTGATCCAAAACCTTGACTCAGAGCTGGCGCGACGTGCAAACCGAGCCAAAGCTGAACGCATCAAGATTTGGGCTGAGGGTGTCCGCGAGCCAAGCGGGCGAAAGGCGGCCATATACGCACGGGCCGCTGACTGCTCGCCCACGGCGTACCTCCGCACGCTCACCACTCCCGACGATACGCAACTCCACTGCGACACCACCGCCTTCAACCCTGACCAAGCTTGCACGGACGACAGTGATGCCGACACCGACGCTGGCGGCTTCAGCCCCAGCGACGGTAGTTCGCTCGACACGGGCAACGACGAAGGCCACACTTGTGACT